ATCAATTGATGACAACTTTAAAAAGTAATGCACATACCATTTTGTATAGATTCATGTATCAAAATCAGATATGAGACAGAAAAACACCACATTATTTTAGTGGCTACTGCATGTACACTTGATTTTCATAAATAATATGTGATTATAACAAATCTTTCAATTACATTACAAGGAATAACCTTCGTATTGTTACAATGAAGACTTTCCAAACAAAAATATCTGCTAAGGTTCCCTTATGGCAATAGCTACAAGATGAGTTCAAATTCCTGGAATCCATATAGATAGAACATGTCAGAAGACCAAGGTTATGGAAGCTCTTTGGAAGTATTTCTTTAGTGGTTGACAAATGACTAAGCCAGCTTTGTTGACAATAATATCTGTGTATTATTCATTAAGTTTAATGACTCAGTTTTATTCGGAAGACAGAAAACAATGAATATAATATTTGATGTGTGTTAATTCCTTAATGACTGACTGATTACACAGGAGAAGGGATATTTACCAGATTTCAAGTGAACATTTTGTTTTAAACATTTGCATAAAACTCTTGTATAAGTTGTTCTGAGATATTCTCTGAAACATCAGTGAACTATAGCTTTATATTCTACTTGAATTGATACAAATGTAAGTGAATATACAGTATCATGTATTTTCTCATATTGGCAAGTAATTCTCATTGGCCAAGACACACCTACAAATTTCATAAGCAGTAGTAACTTTTTTAAATGCATTGTGATATCTGAATCTTTATATACATAACCAGTAACGTCTGAACTTTCTGTATACAAAGATACTGAAATATCAGCAACTTTCTATGAATTGTCAATGTTGAGTTTATTTACCTATATGGATAATTAAGGTAATAAATCCTTACCTATGTTTTATTACCTATCACCTGTAACTGGTCATACACCTTTTTGGTGTCATACATGTATTGTTAAGATAAAAAGTCAGCTAATGGACAGCACAATTACTTGTAATTGAGGAATTTTAAGGAAAGTTTAGTTTTTGTGTGATAAATGTTTTAGTATGAAGTATACATTGCGTACAGGATAATGATGTCTTTTGTGATGGAATAACAATTGTTATTGTGCTTTTTTGTTATACAAAGTCTTATTGGATAAAAACAAAAACAGAAACAGAATATAATGCTAGCTTATCAAACAGTTATTATAGACAGTGATAAAACATTCATGCATTAGAATTGTGACCATAATCATATGGATTTATGTTTTACAATGGTAACTTTATTATGATATTTAGATTTGGGCAGAATCAGATAAAACCTTTTTTTGGTATTTTTTATAGTGTAGGTGTGACTACTTTTCACAGACAAAAACTGTTTGATGACAGATGTCTTATGACAATGTCATTTGAACTACTTTGTAGGTAAAATTAAGTAAAGGTGAAAAGCATAAGTTAATTAGCATGAAAATTGCATACCTTTATTGACATCCTAAGGGAAGTGCTTGTAAAAATATAATTAGTGGAAAATGTTACCTGGATTAACTTTATTGCTAATAACTGATGGAGATCATTTAAATAAATACATGTAGTATGAAAACTAGATTAGCATGGAGTTCCATGAAGGTTTCAAGTTGCTGTGAGGTGTGAAATGTCTGGATTGTATGTGTATTGCCTCAAAGCACAGCAAGAAAAAATCTGGATGTCTGATGTAAATGAAAGAGATCCTATTGAGGAGGGGAAGGTAAAGTAAAAAATTTAAATTTTATGAGGGAAAGAAAGATGTCAGTGTGGGTGATGTGTTGAGAGCCTTTCTCCAAAAAATGATGAAGCTTTGAAAAATTTAGAAGCATGTCTTATTTATAAGTATCTCTTATTTAGTGACAATATAAAAATTTGATATCCATCAGAGTTCAAACAGTTGATGATAAGCAATAACAATTCAATTTATGAAAAACAAATATGACAGACATGAAGTTCAAGATAACCACTGAATGACAGGCTTCTGAATTGGGACAGACACATTAGGAATGTGGCTGTGTTAAACATGTTTGTGAATGCTTATTAACCCCCTCTCCTAACCTTGGACAGTGGTGTTACACACAACATAAAAACAAACTGTAAAAATCAGTAGCAAATCGCTTAACTCAATTGATCAGAATGGAGCACAAAAAGCACAACTAATGTTAAAACAATAGACACAAAGCACTGATATAAGAGTACTTGCAGTTACTGAAAACTAGGTTAAAGCCAATTACAACTTGTGAATAAATGTTGTTGTTACAAGTATAATTACATTATAATTGATATGTTTTGACAGCTATACTTAGCAGTTTTCTCACTTTATCATACCAGTCTTAGATCTTTTTAACTGGCTATAAAGATAAATGCAACAAGCAGTTTATATTGCATTATAAATGAAACACTTTGGCATGGTCTTTGTTTTGCCAAAAAAAATCAAGACTTAAGCTGCTGTTTCTAGTGACAGCTGTGGTGTATCAACAATTATATTGTTGCCCTGTTGTCCCCTTATAACTTGCTATTTTAACTTCATGATTTACATGTTGGTGGAAATTTGAATACTGGTATGCTTGCAAATAGCAATTGTTTTGTGGAAGTGGAAAATTTCTATCAAACTTTTAAGCATCAAAATGAGAGAGAGAAAAAAGGCTGAGTCAGTGTACCAAATAGAAGGTTGCTTTTTGAGTATTGGTGAATATTGTCAAGCTCGTGCAATGTATATTCTTCAAGGGATAATGTTCACCAATATTCATGCCCTTTTATTGTACAGCAAAGCTTGAAAAACTGTTTATAACATATTTTTGACACTGATGACATTGATAATTTGATGCTTTGTTTGCACAGCTTACTGTTTGCTCCATTCTGTTTGAAATATTAAGTTGCTATAAAATAATTTGAATTATCACCATGCCACAGACACAGACATAATTTGATTGTTTGATTACCTTATCTGTTACCTATAAAAAAAACTCTTGTTTTGTTTGAATTAGGGATTGTCATAAAAAATTGTGCTGGTTTTATACCGTTATAAGGGAGACAACTTTAGTATTATCTCAGCTTAACATCTTTAAGAGAGGAGACTCATTTGGATTGGTCATTCTGTTTTATTTCTATTATTGTGTCCATTCTAAACTGTGTCCATTCTAAACTGTGTCCATTCTAAATATTTGTTGTGCATCCATCAATTACTTGTACACAAATTAAAGGTTGAATGAGGTCATGAAGTATGGTTTAGATAAACATTATATGTACATATAAGACTGACAGGTATATTTATATATTTATTTGGCGTCAGTTAGTTGCAGTACACAACTCATATCTTTAATTCTGTGTAATACTACAAATGGCCCATAGCTCTGGGAAGTTGTTATTTTGATATTCCAACATTTACATGAAATGTGTAATAATAATAATGAAGAATATTTGTAAATATTGTTTTGGAAAATGTTTTCCATTTAGACTATCACAAAATGAGGTGAGAAATATTTGATACTGAAGTTTCTTATGTTATTTTTTCTAAAAAAAAATAAGAAAAATGCAATAACATTGATTGATAGTAACAACTTTGCTTGATGAAAAATAACGCAGTTGATGAATGATTTGTATTATAAAATATTGCTGAAAATAGACTATTGAAAAAACTCTTCATAAATTATTTCGATGTTTAGCTGATATGTAGGGAATAAATATTTATTTTACTCATAACAGATAGATTTTAAAATGTTACTTATAATTAAAATTTTGAAAATATCATAGCTAGGTGTACTGATAGGAACTCTATAGCTCCCAAAAATAATTAACCTCATTAAAAGGAGGGCGGAGAAAAATCGTCTGATAGGCTATAAACACATACAAACATATTTATAATGATTAATATCACCATAGACGTATAATTAGAGAAATAACATATAGAAATTATAATTGAAAGAATTTTCTTGTCAAGGAAGAATTATTCATGTAATGTAACGATTTTGAATGTCCCTTCGGTATCTGTCGCCTCTCTTTGATCTGGAAAATGGACCTTAAATAGGATATTAGTTCTGTTCTCTCTCTTGCTGCAATTTTTTCTTCATATGATTTCATCAGTAATTAAGTCATATTAATCCAAGTACACTATGGAAAGACCCCTTTCCCCCTTTTCCTATACAATCCTTATGCCTCATAAAAAGTTTCCTGGGTATTCGTGACATCTTATGTGAAGGTCATAATTCTTTATGTACTATATCACATGGTTGGAAGTAAGATCAGATCATAAAGAGCCACTATAGGAAACATGCTGATTAGAGTCTCATACACTACCATGTATAAGCCACACAAGAATCTGTTGAGAAAAGCATAATACAGGTTTGGGCAAAATAACCACAGTTTAATTAATCTTAGAATCATATATAAAGACAATTAACAATGAAACAATAATATGTTCCTTTTGCACAAACAGTCTTTGAAAAATCTGTGGTACTCCAATAGAAACACAAAACTGCAATAACCACACAATAAAAATTAAAATCATGCACCCTAGTAGTCCAACAAACTTATATGCCAGAAAATTAATAATAGTTTTTTTAGAACAAATCATTGTCATTTGACAGTTTTTAGAAGTATGATAGTTTTGTATCAAAGGATTAGTTGGAAAGTTAATTTGAAATTGCTTTGGTTAAGGAGATTTCTATCATAGATTTACCTAAATCCTGCTTAGCTTCATTGTGACTTATTTGCGGTCTTTAAACTTTTTGAATTTTAATCACTGATGAATGTTCATAGTCAAGACCTTTTGCTGTTAGGTTTTCTTTATGGTATTAATTAACAGTGGTTTATAATTTAATGTTTTGCTGCTCATAATTGTCATGTCAATGAGACATTTATAACACATACCTTACCATAATGTAGAATGATTTCGTAATATATTCAGTTTGAATTAATGAAACAAAAGGGGGAACACTTGGGAAAAAATGTACAACACTTAATATTTATTATATACATGACAAGACTGACCATTGAATCATTTTTACTTGCAGGACCTCAGTGCGTTTGCTGTACCTTTGATGGATACAGGTGTGAAAGAAATGACACCAAGCAATGACTTGGCAGATGGAGATTTTAGACCACGGTCAGGGTCAACAGGATTACGAGGACTGTTTTCTAGAAAAAATAGACAGCGAAAACATTCAGGTGATTCAAATGCTAAAGAAACTGCACCAAGTACATCAAAAGTGCAAAATTTTTTAGATTCATTCAGACCTCGTGCAAAATCTGATCTTTCAGGAATTAAAAAACCAGGGAAAAAGGTGATTCCAACAGTAAAAATGGACGAGTCTATGGATGAATCAACTTTACGTGATGCTTTGACTAATATGCAAACGGATAAAACAGCACCAAATACTCCTATGGGACAAATTTTAGAAAAACAATTACTATCACCTACAAATAATGTTAAACAACGTCATCTCTCAGGGAATGAGCCTCGTGATAGTTTTATGTCACGGTTTAGACCGAGGTCAAATTCTGATTCCAAAGCCAAGTCCCCAAGGAAGATGCTTACAAAACAGGTAAGGAATTATTTTTCAATATGTCAGAGGAAAGGGAGTCATGTTTTGGAAGTTGTATTGTGAATATATTACAGAAAGAATGTTGGAAGAGTGGTCCCATTAACAAGAACAGATATTTTTATTATTTTTGAGAGATTTTTAGGTGGTGGATGGAGTATGGAAATAGTCAGATTCAAATACAAATATAAAGACATGTAATAAAATGTCAGATTGGCAGAAAACCAAAAAAGCCAGTTGAATTAAAAAACAAATCTATAATTTGGTGTGGCATAGTTGCAAGTAGCAGATTTGACTTTTATTAAACCATCGATTTAAGTTAGAATTTGTACATTGTGAAACTTCCCCTGATATGAACCAATACTAAATCAACCAAAATTTTGATCAAAAACTAAAACTGTGCATGGAAATGTTTAAATCGGTAAAAAAAATCCATCCATGTTTGTACAGTAGTTTTTATTTTCAAGGCCACTGATGATTGGGTTGATATGTAAACAATTTATTTTCGTTCAACATACCTGCTTCTGTGTTTTAAAGGCATATGTATTTTGGATGAATATAATGAAGTATTTCATTACAACAACCGAACTAATTCAATGTGATGACTTTATCAAAAAGTAAATATTATGGTGTTACATATCAGTGTGTACATGGTGGATTAATCAATATAAGGTTGACATTTGAATGATTACTTAGCTTGGACAAAATGATAAACAAATCTGATAAGCAATTAAGGATATAAGGCCAATACATTTAATTTTTTGGTTGGGAGAGGATTTTACAAATTATTTAATTTCATGATAGTCATGATCTGAGTAAAAATAAAATCTTACTTTCAGCTCAAATACTCTGAAGATGGATGAGAATCTATTTATTTGACATACATTTTAGCTCTTCCCATTTCAAGTGAAGGCCTCACAAATCATCGTTTTAGTTCAAATTAACTTAAAAAGGACAGTAAATGTGTTTTTTATACCCCACTGTCACTGGAGGGGGCATTAAGTGTTACCCTTGTCTGTATGTATGTCCCAAAATTGTATCTGTTCTCTAACTTAATTTGCCTCAACCAAATGTTATGAAACTTATACTTAAATGCTTATTGCCACAAAACACAGATCAAGTTCGAATTTGAGTGGCATCGCTTTTACCGTTCTCGAGTTATGTCCTTTATAATGTTGTATGTAAGCGGGGGCATAATCTGTGTCCCATCGACACATTCTCCATTCATTTTTGTTGAGCCTGCGACCTTTGTCGCAAAAGCGAGACATAGCGATCCTACATTCCGTTGGTGTCAGCGGCGGCAGCGTCCACAAATATTCACTCTGTTGTTAAAGCTTTTCAAATTTTCTAAAAACTATCCTGCATTTCAACCAAACTTGGACAGAAGCTTGTTTGTGATCATAAGATAGTATCCAGAAGTAAATTTTGTAAAAAAAAAAATCCTGTTTATCTGTATTTTACTCATAAATGGACTTAGTTTTTCTGCCAGTTAATATTACATTCACTCTGTGGTTAAAGTTTTTCAAATTTTAATAACTTTCTTAAACTATCCTAGATTTGTACCAAACTTGGACAGAAGCTTGTTTGTGATCATAAGATAGTATTCAAAAGTAAATTTTGTTAAAAAAAAAATCCTGTTTATCCGTATTTTACTTATAAATGGACTTAGTTTTTCTGCCAGTTAACATTACATTCACTCTGTGGTTAAAGCTTTCAAAATTTTAATAACTTTCTTAAACTATCCTGGATTTGTACCAAACTTGGACAGAAGCTTGTTTATGATCAAAAGCTAGTATCTAGAGGGAAATTTGGTAAAAATTTATTTCAGGTTTATCTGTATATTACTTATAAATGGACTTAGTTTTATTTCAGTAAACATTACGTACAGTCTGCAGTTAAAGTTTTTAAAACATTTATTAGATTCATAAACCTTCTTGGATTTTTACCAAACTTGAACAGAACTTCTTACGATCAAAAGATAGTATCTAGGGTAAAATTTAAAATAATTTTTTCCCCATTTTTGTTGAGCCTGCGACTGACTAACAGCAAAAGTAGGCGAGACACTGGGTTCCGCGGAACCCTTACAAATTTTTTTAAATTTTCTTCATCAATGCCTGTAGGTGAATATTATGATTATGTCTGTTTAATATGAAGATATGAAGATTTGGAAAATAAAATATCTAATTAGCAAGCACACTACCGTAAATATGAAAGCCTTTAAAAGTCTGTCATAAGGATATTTTATCATTTTTCTAAACTTGGACTTTTGAATGAGCACAGTATTAGTTGCATACATGGGAGTTCATGTACCAATAACTACAATATATTAGAAATAACCAAATAATACTTTATTACATAAGTCCGTATTATGATTTTAACTTTGATCATTTTTCAGTTTGCATCACTTATTCAGGTAAACGTTGTCCCTGATACACCTTGTGATTAAGATCAGCCATCAGTTATGAATTTGCACACATTCACTTTTAAAGAGTGCATTTTCCCAAAATTTGACCTAACATACAAACTTTGCTTTGATTGTATATATGTGAGAACACATTATTAACAAAAGAGCACCTACAATAGTCATTTGCACTTAACTATATTGAAAAAGACATAGTCCCTGTACAGAGGTGGATCTAGGATTTTCAAAGAGGAGGGGGGCTGATGGCCCCAATAGGAAATTAAGGAAGGGTCAGAATTCAGGGAAAAAAATTATTGCCCATTAATGAGGTAGCACTGCCTACTATATGTGTTATTTCGTAATGAAGTATTAGTCTCCAATAGAGATATAATAATATAACCAATATTTCAGTGACTTCTATGATGAACAAAGTTGCAAGGGTATAATGTTTTTGACCTGCCCATCATCATTTTGTTGAGTTTAATAAGCAAAATCTGAAATAAGGCACCATTTTTATTGGGGAGGGGATTTGTGAAAATTACCCATATTGATCGTGTTTGGGGGCATGGGGTATGTGAACTTGTTCACTAAAAGTTGAACTTTCATCTGAATTGCAACTTATATTTAGACCCGTTTCAAAATCATTGATAACAAAATGATTCTAAATTGTACAATTAAGTAATATACACCTTTCATGGTCAAGGTGAGCAAAACAATGTGATATTTTCCCCCAACCTCCTTTATAATCTCACACAGATAGACTACATATATTGTAACTTCACAGGCTAGACTTTATGTATTAACCTCCTCTAACCTAAAAACTATGTTTCAGATATATTTATACAGACTTCACAATTTTAAAAATTAAAGAAATATGAATTTTTGCTGTCCCATGATATTTATTTTTAGAAATTATATTAATCAAACACATATGATTCAGTGTCCTTCTTTGTAATGGACAAATTCAAATTATATTTAGTTGAGGATGTTAAATTAAGATGAAATTAAAAGTTGATGGATTTGTATTTCAGAACAGTACAGACAGCGCCACACCACCAGGCAGTCCTCGTAAGTATACCAGATGTCTATATTTACCTGTTAATATTTCTTACAGTGATGCTTCTCAACTGAGGCCATGGAAGCATATGATTCCACATAATTTCTTTAACCATAGATTTCTGGCAGATTAAAAAAAAAAGGGTGTGATGTTATGCAATGGTTGCCTTAGAGGATTACACTGGGTTTTAATTGTCGTTTTGAAGTACTTTTGGATACATTTTTTTGAGAGAGGGTATATAATATACTTATCAATATGTCAGTGAAAAGAATATAGAATAATTATTGTGCTAGATTACATTTTAATAGATATCAATTCTTCTAAAATCACGATTGTTATAGTAGACTCTCATAAAGAGCAAAATCAACATTTGTATATAGTGATTATAGTCATATGTAAAGGAAAATCCCATTTCTATAAATAACATTGAAATGACATCAGTAAACAAAGTGAATTGTGGGTAAAATTGAAGCTGACCTTGTAGGGTTAATAGTGCAGCAATACAATTTCTTTGGAATAAACAAAATATATTAGGATTAATCCTGGGTGCTCTCAAATCTGTGAGAATGAGGCGTAGAAGAAGTTCTGGAAAGAGTTTAGAAGGAGAGTCAAGTAGCAATGCAGGTTAGAATGAAAAAGATTATGTCTGACACAATTAAATATTATGATCATTTGCCACCTGACTTAATTATAACATACTATTTTTCATCATTTCAAGGAAGTAAAACTTGTAAACAACATAATGAAAGTTACTAGTTTACCTTCTTGTTCTGGCATGTAAATAGAAGTAGTACTAAAATGTTTCAGAATCATTGCACCTGTATCAGACCTCTGAATGTATCAAACATCATTAAAATTTTTGATACTTCTTGGCTTAAATTTTCTTTGCTTTTATTTTTTTTTAAGGCATGATATAATAGCAAATTTGTTATCCTCTTCTATCACTGGAAATTCTGTCTATAAATAGAATTTATGTATGAAGCAATCAATAATAATATATAAACAGTTTGAAAGCTTTTCTTACAAGGAGTGTCCCAACAGGGATGTTTTCAGAAAAAAACTTCCTGTCTTAAGAGTATTGAAACTAGTAAATCATGAATAAGAGGAAATCGAAGAATGAATTTTTTTTAATAATGTGAAATCAACTGAACATAAAAAGAATGGTTGATAAATGAATGTTTCATAACCATTGAGTTGTTTGATACAGGTTATCAATAGATCTGAAAGGAAAACATTGTGGTCATTACTGTATCATCATTTTACAAACTTTGTACATTTTCATGTCGCTCCTGAGTCTGTATTTCCATATCTCTTCAATTTGTTAAGAGAAAAATCACTTGGAAACCTTCTATGAAGAATCCTTAGTCTGCTTGGGGTACATGGTGGGTGATGTGTCATATTGGTCTTATTGCATCATGTGGGTAATAATTTTTTATTGGTTTCTAGGAAAGTACATTGTATTGTTTCTATTTTGAAAGAAACTTGGCAAAAGGAATGTCTGTAAGGTCTTGGATGAAAGGAGTAGACCCAGTAAGACCCCTTTTTGGCCCCAAAATATAGCAGTTTTACAAAATTGTTATAATGTAAATTTTTAGCTATTTATTGGAAAGAAGAATACTTCTGTTATATAAATATGGGCTGTTTTTGACAATACAATGCACATGTATCGGGTACTAGCATCATTAAGTCATGCTAAATTACTGAAATCTTCGAAATTTTAGCATTTTGGTTAATTTTTAGACGGTTTCCATCTGAAATGGAAGTGGCCGCATTTGTGTTCATTCTTAATATTTAAATGTAAGTTGTATTTGATGATAATGCATAACATATATAAAGGTTGAGAATGAACACGGATGCGGCCACTTTCATTTTTGACAAAAACCATCTGAAAAGTGACATATTATGGCATATTTGATAAATTTTTCATATTTAGGCTTGAATTTGAGCGTCTTTAATGACTAAATCAGTTCAAATCTTTCATATAAACTTATTGAATCAACTGAAGTAGACACTTAAGTGTTTAAAAAGTGTCCAAAATTTTTCATCAGACCAACCTGAATTTTGAGGCCAAAATCGGCCCTTACCAGTCCTACTCCTTTCTCATTTTGTTTTGGTAATAAGAAAAATATGGCTGCTTAGTATAGGTCTTTTGTTTTTTTAATTTTGAGGCTGCATCAAACTTAAATGAAATTTTTATTCGTTTATCCATACATGAATATAAACAAACCATTTTGCTGCAAAATTATATTAGCAGCACATACACTAGGCTGCAATGTATTACCCAAGGAAGTGACTCTACTTTGAATCTACAGGACTTCACATTGATTCTTGGAATGCGAATTTTATTCAGTTGAAATTCAATTTGGACTCTTTGACTAGAACAGATGGTATCAAATGAAGGAAATCATTTCCTCTGAGATTCACTCAATGTTTTATTTCCTCTGAGATTCACTCAATGTTTTATTTTATTTCCTCTGAGATTCACTCAATGTTTTATTTCCTCTGAGATTTGGTCAGTTTTTTAAATGAATTTGGAATCAAAAGTGCATCATTTCAAAAAGATCAAGTGTTACTATCTCTAGCAATTGTTTTTTGAAACTGCAAATCTTAAGCTTATATGCCCCTTTTCTCTTACTTTATAGACATCTTGTACAAATCCTTTTGCATTGTTACATAAATGAAACTCCCGCCTTTAACCCCTCAATCATAGCTATATAAATATAATGACAGTAGTCAGAGATCGATAGGATGCTGTATAAAGCTCATTACGACGGGATACCATTTAAAGTTTCTATTGCCACAAATATTCTTTTCACTGATAGTTTGAAACTATTTCAATTTAATGCGAGGGTTCACTGAAGAATGTTCCTATCATCCATCTTGAATCTATTACGTTTAAATAGTAAGGGGAATTCGTCTTAATTTGTTATAGTTCTACATGTATATAGTTTGTTGAGAAAAGTACTGATAAAATCTTGGACCATATTCACATAAAATTGTATAATTACTCTTTATTTTATAACCATTCAGAATTGAAGTATATTTTTATTTTATGTAAAATTGATGTAATCTTGTGATGTTTACAGGTAACGTTCTCAGGCTTACAATAGGAGGTATATACACATGTTCATTCATATATTTACTTTGTTTTGTTGGACTGTATCAAGGGGTTCAAAAGCAGGAAAATTTGTAAAATAAACAGCTTTTTAATTATTTTTCTTCTTGAATGGTGTACATGTTCTGTTATTTGTCAAGCATTTGATTGTTCCTAGATACAGTTTGACATTTGCATGATTACCCCATCCATATAATTGAACTATATAGAGATTTTATATGTTCTGCTGCAGGCCAATCCTAACATGGACATGTAGCTGACTAGGTAGTGCATACAACTAAACCTCATTACTTCCATCTTCCAGTACTCAGATGACAATTTATTGACACATGTACGTCCAGTGACCTTAACCTCCATGACATTTTCTGATAACCTCCATAGTCAATATCATATAAAACATTCACGGTAGGCTTTGATGTAATTTCTCCATTAATTTCTCCTGTAACATAATTTAAAAATACTCGAGTCAAAAATGGTAAGTAGAAAGACCTGATTCCTAAACTCCTGATTTATATTACCATACCATACAAAATGTCACATAACAATTACAAGTAGGGATTTTTTGTAAAAAGATGGTCCCTTCAGTTACATAGTTATTAATACAAATAGGTACAAGAAGCACTGTTCTTCCATTCCTATGGTGTATATTATGAATCATTGATATCTGACAAACACTTGAGAGAAACAACCATAGATCTACCACAAATGAGGTTTAATTGTTGTTGTACATGCTTTCCCCTCCTTGGTGACATGGAACATATTCAGATTTAACATTTAGGTGAATTTATATTTTTACTTTCTTCTTGGTGTTGATGCTCCAAACTTTTACTTTATGATACAGCTGTAAGCCAGTGGTTAGGTAGCATATAGCTTTCCCAGGTTAGAGAGATATGTTTTTGCCTATATTTTAGTTCAAGAAATATCCAAATTAGATAACTTAGAATCTTTTATACATTAGGCAAATATTCTTAAGATGTTTGTTATGCATCCAAGAAAATTCTTGTTAATAGAACAAAATGTCTGGTGCATGTCCAATAATTTGGGATTTTCAGTATATAATTGCAGTTAATAAGAAAGTTTAAGCTTTATATGTTAATACATGTAATCTCATTCTGACTGCACAATGCATTTCTGTACATGTTTATAATTTGTAATTGAGTTACTTCCCTTTGACTGTTATGTAAGTCTCAGAAATGTTTTTTTTTTAATCCTTTAAAAGGGGATACTGTTTGTGTGATTTACTGATCTTTTCATTTAATTAGCACCTGAACTATGTATTCCTCTAATGGATAGGAAAGAAGCAGAGGTGGATAGTTATTGTGTCTGACATTGGGTCTATAGCAAGCTAAGAATTTTTAGACTTTGTCACGAATGTCAAAAGATTTGCATTTTTGACACTAACTTTTTGTTATGTCAGTCCAGAAAAGTTGATTTGTCAGGACTGATAGAAGGAAGGCCAGGGAGTATAGAATATTTTGTTTTGTACACATTGATATCCTAAAATATCAGCCACAAGCCACAATGTGAATCTTTTTGGCGAGTGAGCCAGGAGAACAAACAAAAAAGCTTTACATTGTGTCAAGCGGCTGATAGATGGTGTCAAAAAATGCAATTTTATGACAAATGAGGCAAAGTCTAACAATTCTTGGAAGTATACTAGTCTCAACATAATTTTAAAAAAATATATTTTTAAAGACTTGTTCCTAGAATGAAGCAGCAAGTCTTTCAAACTTAGAACTTGCGTTAGAACTTGGGTTAATTCCAATGTATTTAATTAGTTTGTAGTTATCTATACTATTAAACGAGAAGACCTCATTTTGTGCGTCGCTTCTCTTCCTTCCACAATAAATTAATCATCATGCCTCTGTGTCCTATAGGTACCATGCATAGTCGCAT